GAAGAAGAAGAAGAAGAAGAAGAAGAAGAAGAAGAAGAAGAAGAAGAAGAAGATTAGTTTTTTTTTAGTAAGTTTTTTTTTTACGGTGGTAGCAACTGCATACGATCATATGAGCGTACGGGACACATTAAATATTTTTAGTTTGGTAAGAATTAATTTTGAGTTTTGCACGGGTGGCAGCCGAAGCATACTCTTATCGATTTTGGGCCACCAAGGGATCTTTAACGTGCGAAACGTGGACACGGGACCTCCGAGATTTTTTTGCCCTTATCCGAGAAGACAAGGTGTTAGATCTTATCTACCATAAGATAAGGGGTGTGGCTGAAAAACAGCAGTAAGAAGACGCCAAGGAGTGGAGTAGCAGTAGAGGCTTCAGAAAGAGTCAGGAGCCCAGTGGAGGGGGCAAAGGGGACCGGGTATGGGGGAGGGAGGGGGTGCAGAAAGTGGAGACAAAAGCAGACGACAAAACATGATTAGATGAGAGCAAGAAAGTAGGTGAAACGAAAACAATAAATTTACAAAAGAAAAATTTTCGTCGCCGTCAGGTTTCGAACCCGGGACCTATTGAATGAGAGGCAAACACCGTAACCTCCAGACCACGAGAGCCCACTATTATTAATAATTTTAATGGTAATAATAATAATAATAATAGTATAATAATGATAATAGTAGTAGTAGTAGTAGTAGTAGTAGTAGTAGTAGTAGTAGTAGTAGTAGTAGTAAAACGTAGTAGTAGTAGTAATACGTAGTAGTAGTAGTAGTAGAGAGAAGAAGAAGAAGAAGAAGAAGAAGAAGAAGAAGAAGAAGAAGAAGAAGAAGAAGAAGAAGAAGAAGAAGAAGAAGAAGGTGATGATGATGATGATGATGACATCATAGTCATCATAGAAACTATCTTCACTCACCAGGGTCTACACAGGAGTAGCTAACTTGCAAGGATTTGGGAACTTGCAAAAAGCACGATGGCTCTTTGGTGTTCATGAACAGAAAGGACGGAGTGTATTCTAACTTGCACTCGTTCTGAAAAGAAGATAAATATACATATATGTAAAATTGAAAGGTTATGCATTGTAAATTACATGTCACCTGCTGCAAAAAATTATCACTGTACAAGGCAAGAGGAAGACTAAGGAAGACCTGGATCGAGGATGTGAATGACACCCTGAAGGCCCACAACATCCCACCCAGCCAGGCCATCCACCCTGCCAGAGACCGAAAACTCTTTCTACTTTCTACCCTTTGACGCCCTAGATGGTACAAGAGGAAGGATAAATTCAAATAAAAAATGCCTTTTGAAAGGAGAAGGCCACGTGGAACATGGAGGAGAGTCAGGGACAATGGTGTAGCCTGCAGAAAAGTGGGAAGACGTTGAATGATAATTGCTCGTAGTGCGTTTTGGAAGGGGGGAAACCTTTTGGTATCTAGTGAAGAGTCACACAGAATGATATACAGAAAAGTGGGAATACATGAAATTACTATGACTTTATTATCAGGAAGCTTGCCCAGGATGGGGGGAGGTAGAAAGTGTTTGTTCTTGACCTACACAGTGATCCAGGGTGAGAAAGACAGTAATAAAGATGATGACGATGATGATGATGATGATGATGATGATGATGATGATGATGATGATGATGATAATATAACACCTTTTTCAGCCACGACATAGAATGGAAAGCGTATATACCTAGCTGTTGAGCAGGAATCCACTATTATTATTATTGTTTTTATTTTTTGCATTGTTATTATTATTATTGTTGTTGTTGTTGTTGTTATTATTATTATTATTATTATTATTATTATTACTATTATTATTATCATTATTATCATTATATTATCATTATCATTGTCATTATCATTATTATTGTCTTTGTCATTAGCATTAGCATTATCACTATCATTATTATTGTCATTATCATTATCATTATCACTATTACCTTGAATGCACAATTTGTCTTCCCTATAAGCAGCTGGGGCGTCAGTCCTTCACACTTTTGGGCTGCGATAGCCTTCACATTGACCTCGTGAACTAAGCACCGCCCACAACTCAGTGGGATGTGCCCATTATTGTTCAAACGATTGAACGTCTTATAGGGGCTGTTCTCACATTTGACTCCTGTACAAAACCAAAAGAAAATGAAACATGGAGGGGAAACGTTTCTTTTTTTAATAGTGATGGGTTTATTTATTTCTATTGTTGAAAATAATAATTATTACAATCCGATACAAAATGTTTGACGAAATGTAGAATTTCATTTCAATTTGTATTCTCATTTGTTTTGTTTGTTTTGTTTTGGTAAAAGCTTTATTTGTAACAAAATTTGGTATTAAATGTGCCGAAGATTAGAGGTGTCACAAGAGAGTAAAAAACACCGAAAAGACAGACACACACACACACACACACACACACACACACACACACACACACACACACACACACACACACTCACACACATACGCGCTCAGATACTTTTGAGGTCAGACAAGCGCACGCACTCACGCACACACACACACATACACACACACTCAAACACACATACACACACACCCACACGCACGCACACACATACACACGTACACACTCATGGATACATTCACTCAACTGTCTCACACTACAAATTTACAGGGAGCTCTCATAGCCAAGATGTTATGGTGTTCGCTTCTCATTGAATAGGTCCCTGGTTCGAATCCAGATAACGACGGAAAATTTTCCTCTCTAAAATGTTTCCCCGTTCACCTTCTTTCCTACATGCTCTCTAGCAAAGTTATACCGTCTGCACTTTCTGCCCCACACCCTCACCTCCTTTGTCTGCTCCTCTGGGCTCCTGAATCTTACTGCAGCCTTTCTACTGCCTCTGCTTAGCTCTTTCTTACTGCTAGCTGTCTTTCAGACACACACCTGATCATATCGTAGGTAAGATCGAACACCTAGCGTTCTCGGATAAGGGTGAAAAATCTCTGAGGTTCCCTTGTGCATTTTGCGAACATTAAAGATCCCTTGGTGGTCCTTAAATCGATAGGAGTAGGTTTCGGTCGCCACCCGGCAAAGTTCTAAATTTCCTACTAACTGAAAATATTTAATGTGTCCCGCCCGCTCATATGACCATAATGCAGTTGCGAGCGAAGTAAACATTACAACCCCCCCCTCCCCCATTAAAAATAACAAAAAGATTACACACATACGCAAACATAAATGCGCGCGCGCGCACTCACACACACACTCACACACACACGCCCGCACGCGCGCGCACACACACACACACACACACACACACACACACACACACGCACACACAAGCACTCAGACACACACAGACGCACATACACTGTCCACTATCCCTCCACACATACACACATACACACATACACACATACACACACACACAGAGAAACACACACATACACGCTCACACATACGCACATGCACACAAAAACACACAAATACACACACACACACATAAACACACACATACACACACAAACTCACACAAAAACGCAAACACACATACACAAACACACACACACACACACACACACACACACACACACACACACACGCGCGCGCGCGCTAACATCATATCTGATATACTTCACCAAACCTGGATTTATCGCTGATTTTTTCCGCAACAAGAGGTCTGATTAAACATGTTTTGCCGTTTATCAAGACTATGACTAAACAGTATAAGAAACGATTTAGCAGATGTTGTATTGTAATGCTTTGATAATATCGTTCTTTGTATGAGTTATTGTGTTCCTCTATAATGTGGTTGTTGTTTTGTTGTTGTTGTTGTTGTTTGTTTGTTTTTTAAATTCCATATTGTTTTCTTGTTATATTATGTTTGTTATTTTTCTTTGTTATCAACTGTTATGTGTTGTTATCCTTCTTTGTTATGTGTTGGTACGTTTCCCAGTTTTATATATGGCTGTGACCTTTAAATATTTGTGTATTATACTTCTTTGTTCCATTATGTTTTCATGATTCTTTTTTTCTTCCAATTCAAATCCAAAGAAACAAACCTTTGAGTTTCTTGTTGTACTTCTTCAGGTACTCCTCGACAAAGATGGTTTCGTACTTCGACAGTTCTTCATCGCCCTCAGCTTCCTCCTCCGTGTTTTGACTGGGATAACAAGACCTGGTAGCACACAGCACTTCTGAATAGACAATGTAGAAGGGTAATACTAGCAGTTTAAGGTCATCAGTTGACAAAAAGGAATTTATTTTACCATCTATGTAACTTAAAACAATGGGTGAAAGGGCATTTGAATACCAAGTCCCCAAGATCTGGAATGCTTTACCAAGTACTTTGAGAGAGATCAAATCTTTTGATTCATTCAAATGTCAGCTGAAGTTTCTGTTTTTAAATTAATAATAATAATATTTGGAATACTTTTCTTTAGTCAGAACACAACGTTTTATGTTACTGTTGTATGTTGTCAGTAGTACTTGATGAAGCCCACGTGGGACGCTCAATGTTAAAAACAATCAGGAAACGACAAATGCAGTTTTTGGGACACCTGAATAGACATAAGGGTCTTGAACATCTAGCTCTCACTGGCAAAATTGAGGGCAAGCGAGGCAGGGGTAGGCCCAGAACAACATACTTAGGGAACCTAAACAAATGGGTAACAGGGAAAAATCAGGGAAACGTAGCTTTTCTGAGAGCATCCGAGCAAAGGAATGGATGGAAAATCATGATCGCCGATGTCTGTCGCAGATCTGGCACTGGATGATGATGATGTCTGTGTACTGTCTTGTAAAGCTCTCAGAGCCTGTGTACTTTATTCATGTCATTTATTATTATTATTATTATTATTATTATTATTATTATTATTATTATTATTATTATTATTATTATTATTAATACAAACAAATGAACAGCTTTTTTATTTTTCATTCCACTGTCATTGTTGTTTATACTTTACATTGAACATGATGACACCGATGAAAAATGTTGAATGAGAGATTGAACTTAGCCGGTTGTTGCGGCTTACATGGAAAGAAACTATGAGAAGCACTCAATATGTTGAAAAGCTTGAATCTTTATTAAATGAAAAGCATGATATGTTTCTATCATATTTAAGTCCCAATGATGTCGACTCTGCTTGTAATGTTCTGCAACAATAAACTAAAATATCTGCCGGAGACGTGCAAACCAGTAAGCAAAAGAAAAAACGGCACAATAAGCATCACCAACCATTCTGCTGGGATAACGACTCTGAAAAGCTAAAGAGAATCAAATATTTCACCTCCACGATTTTCACAGAACAAACTGTTCAAATGATCTGGATAGATTCCTTGAAGCAAAGAAAGACTTTAAGGAGATGTGTGCTTTAAAAGAGAAAATCTGTGATACCCAGACAGTAGAAAGTTTGAAACAAGACCTTGCTGATAAATGTTCAAAATCATTTTGGCAAAAGGTTAATAAAATGATTCGAGCTCATGACTCACTTGATGCGGCTAAAGCCACATCAGATCAATTTTATTGTCATTTTTAAGACTTGCTAAATCCCAGAATAATGAATAATCAGAGGACTTAAATACAAACTGATCATGAAGTAGTTTCAACAATAAATGAGGATTTAGACACAAATGTATACATGTATGATAATGAAATCACAGCTTCTGAATTTCGAAGCGTTCTGAGAAAATTGAAGAAAGGAATGGCTAGCGGATGTGATGGTATTAGTCCTGAACTATTCTAATGCTTGTCCTACCTTGATAATGTACATCTGGTTGTTGTTTAATGCCATTTTAACACAGGGAAGTACCTCAAAAGGTGGTGCCAAGCACTACTACATCCTCTCTTCAAGAAAGGTAGTCCTTAGGGTGTTAACAACTTCAGGGACAATGTACTTCTAAATATCATATCCTTGATATTGTCTAGTATATTGAATTCGCGACTAGCGGAATGGGCAGAGCAGACAAATGTAATTCCAGAATCGTAAGCAGGGTTTCGTAAAAGTTATAGAACTATCGATCATATCTTCTCGCTTCAATCAATAGTCCAAAAGTATGTTTTAAAGAAACGTGGGCGCTTCTATGTACTTTTTGTTGATTTGTCCAAAGCACATGACTGCGTCCCCCATGAAAAACTGTAGGCATTCTTGAGGAAAAGAGGCCTGAGAGGGAAACTGTTAACATTACTACAAAGTATGTACTCGAAAGTTATGTGCTCTGTCCGTACAGGCCAGCATGAAATTACGGAATACTTTAATTGCTTTTTTGGGTGTTCGTCAAGGATGTATTCTTAGCCCACTTTTGTTCAATATCTATGTTTCTGAACTTGAATTGATGGTGAGAAACGGTGTTGTCAAAGGAATTGAGCTTTTAAACAATGACGAACAAACACGCAATTTAATATATGCAGATGACATGTGCTTGTTTTCAGATAAAATTGTAAACATGCGAAGGAAAATCAATTGTTTGGAGAATTATTATAACCAATGAGGCCTGTCTGTAAATCTGGAAAAGACTACGATGATTGTTTTTAGAAATGGAGGCGTGCTAAAGCGCACTGAAAATGGTTTTACAAAATGAAAAGCATTAACATAGCAACATACTTTAGCCACCTAGGGGTGATATTTTCTTCTCGCTTGTTATGTTCAAAGTGTATAGAAAATGTATGTTGTAAGGTAGCAAGGCTCACTTCCAGAGGGAGATGTTTAAGTAAAATATATGAGCTCTTGGATCAAACTTTGTTCAACATTTTTTACATCAAAATTAAGCCATTACTTTTGTAGGGTTGTAAAGTATGGGGAGAGAAGAAATACGACAAAATAAAGCCAGTGCACTTAAAATTCTGCAAGGCTGTCCCAAACATTTGTAGAACATCCGCAAATATTTTGGCAATGGGGGAATGTGGGCGTCATCATTTGTATGCCAATTATCATCTACGAGCAATAAAAATTTGGTATGAATGACAGGTAATGGATAGTAATAGGCATGCTAAGAAATGTTATTTGCAAGCGTATGTACAAGAGCAAAATAATCGGTACAGCTGGGCCACTGACAAGAGGAAACCTGTATGTACAATAGGGTTTGGATATGCGTGGTTATTTCAAAATGTTGGTGATTAGAATATTTTCCTATCTCAAGTCAAGGAAAGACTGATAAATATTAGTCAACAGGACTGGCGTTCTAAAGTGTCTGACGTTTATCCTGAGTACCTGGACTTTCATCTTACGTTAAGCCCTGCCCGTACCTCTCATTTACCATTTTTGCTAGAGGAAGAAGGATCCTTGCATTACTCAGAACTTTCATTTTGTCGCTGAAAAATAATCTGTTCCGGTTGGGTATTGTCCACAGTAATCATTGCCTCCAGTGTGATGGAAAGTGTGTAGAAAATGAATTCCATGTATGTTAAGAGTGCGTGAGACTTCAGACACCCGAAGAGCCAATGTCTAAGTTCAATGGGATATTAGTCTGTTCAGATGAAGTCCAGTCTAAAAACATTATATCATTTCTAAATTATGTTATACGGGCACGTCTGTCCTAGGGGAAAAGGTATTCATTCGCATATGTAACTCTACATTTACTGCAATATGCACTGTGTTATATGCGAATATGTATGAAAATAGCAATGGCAATTTTTATTCACTTCTCAGAGTGAAATTTGTCCCGATTTCTCTCGCAGCGGCATTCATAGCATTGTGTGGCATTTCCATTTCTGTCTGTTCTTATTTTCTGAAGTACGCCGTTCACGTATGTCAGTGGGTGGATACGTGTGCTGTTTCAGACTTACTTCTATAGTAAGTGCTATTTATTGTAATACAAACTGATGACAAAACAAGCCTTTATATGTATGTGCGTATGCATGAATTTATGTATGGTATGTAAGGTATATCGTGTGTAGGTGTAGTATGTTTGTATGTATGTATGTATGTATGTATGTATGTATGTATGTATGTATATATGTATGTATGTATGTATGTATGTATGTATGTATGTATGTATGTATGTATGTATGTATGTATGTATGTATGTATGTATGTATGTATGTATGTATGTATGTATGTATGTATGTATGTATGTATGTATGTATGTATGTATATATGTATGTATGTATGTATGTATGTGTGTGTGTGTGTGTGTGTGTGTGTGTGTGTGTGTGTGTGTGTGTGTGTGTGTGTGTGTCTATGTATGTATGGTATGTAAGGTATATCGTGTGTAGGTGTAGCATGTTTGTATGTATGTATGTATGTATGTATGTATGTATGTATGTATGTATGTATGTATGTATGTATGTATGTATGTATGTATGTATGTATGTATGTATGTATGTATGTATGTATGTATGTATGTATGTATGTATGTATGTATGTATGTATGTATGTATGTATGTATGTATGTACGTATGTATGTATGTACGTACGTACGTATGTACGTATATGTGTATGTGTGTGTGTGTGAGTATGAGTGTGTATACGTGTGTGTGTGAGTGCGTGCGTGTCTGCGTGCTTGCATGCGTACGTGCGTGCATGCGTGTGTCCGTGCGTGTGTGCGTGTCTGTGTGCATGCGAGCCCAATTTATGTTAAATATCTGATGTGCAGCTCCAATGTATGTAATTGCAGAACCACATGTTAAAACGTGCGTGTGTGTGGGCCAAAGGCCTTTCAATCAATAAATTTTAATCATTTTGAAATCTCAAGAAAAATAAAAATCTGTCTGTCTATCTATCTATCTATCTATCTATATATCTATCTATCTATCTATCTATCTATCTATCTATCTATCTATCTATCTATCTATTTCCATTCCTTTGCTATCTCGTTCTCAATCTACATATTACCTATTGTTCCCTTTTTATTAAAAAAATCTATGTTTGTCATAAGAGATCAAGTTATAATTATTACTCAATAAGCTCTTGAAATAATGAAAAAGAGATCAATAATTGACGATTACCAGCCTGGAACAGTTTTACAAAACATTCTTAAATAGCTACAGTGCCAAGTCAGGCGGACGGATAGGCCTTGAACTTCAAAATATTATATAACTTATTTAATGTACAAGTTTTCTAAATTGTTCATGAGTGTTTAAACTATTTCTTCAACTGTAAAAAAAACCAAACAAACAAAGAAAAAGAAACAAAAAAAGAACAAGGAAATTGAAAACGGTCCAGTTTTGTTCGATCTGACAATGATTGATTGTCAGATATAATTTCTGACGAATAAATGTACAACACTTTACGTCAGCTTACCTGCAAAAACCACCCCAAGTATCATCAGAAGAAACAACTTCCCAAAGTCGGAATGCATGATGCAATGGTATTAATAATAAACCTATTCCAGTATGTCTCGGAGAAACAAAAGCTATACGGATGTGTCCTCACTAATGTTAAATGAAAGTAGGGGACTGAGAAACATGACTGTTATCAAAATATGATAACCGTGCTTAAAGAATCAGCTTACACATGGTGTGAGAAATGAAAGTATAGGCGGTTCCATTCTGCTTTAAATACCCGCGGTGGCCTGTGGTTCAACCGACGCGTAGTATACCCTGGTCCTGCTTTCCGAGCCGGGGCGGATCCTTGGAAATTCGGTACTTAATGTTTCTAATCCGTTTGTTCAACAAATCCGGGAAGATCCTGCGACGTATCGATTTTGCTATAATAAAACTCGAATCTAACAGTGTAACCGGTTTGTTGAACAATGTTTCAACACGCAAAAAGAGCCCTGCTGGTTTTGATTATGATCATAGAAAGCACCTAAATTTGACTACAGTTCTTTTATGCCATTTACAGTGCTTTGGGTTGTTGGCATTTTTTTAAATTGAAAAAATAATGTAATAATGACTTAGAAAACATGTGCATCTTTTTGCTGGAGAACCCCCAGATTTGACCTCGGCAAGGGTTAGAGTAAATTAAAATCTCGACCTATGTATCACATGTTCAAGATTAGAGCATACCTTTATAAATTAATATGCATTGTTTGTTTAACGTATCACCCCCCC